ATATGATATTTTAATCACTATATGCAATACTACAATCCACTGATTTTATATGTATCTAAATTTCAACTTTTGAGTAGGTCTGATTTGTTTGAGAACACAGAACAAAACCTTAATCTGGAATGCAAAGCCCTCTGTAAGCTGGCCTCTGCCTATTTCTCCTATGTCTTCCCACACTCCAGCCATAGTGATTCTGCCTACACTTCTCTAAGTGTACAATACTGTGTTCTTTTCTGGAAATTGCACACACATTTCCCTCTCTTTGAATTCTGTTACATCCTTGTCCACCTTTTGAAGTCTCTGCATCTTTCAGAGCCAAGATCTTGGATACCTATGTCTTTGAAATCTCCTTTGAACAAAGGATTTCTTATGATCCTTACTTGATATCACCATTTTGTACCTGTTAGGGCACTTTTCATACTGCAGCTATTTGCTTACAAAAGTGCCAAACACGACATACCACAATAAATATGCAGAAAAGGGCTCTCATTTGCTCATTTCTGTACAGCCCTAACTAAATATAATGCCCAATACATTATGCGAATGCTTTCTGAATTAATAAAAGAACAATCTAAAACTGAAGCTCTATTCATATTTTATCACAAGGCTGTTTCCTTAGGTGTGAAGGTGTGGTAAGGCTGGAAAATGTATAGCTTCCAGGGATATGCTAAGTCCTTCAATCACTTGGGACCCATAAAGCACTTTAACATGAGTCATGTTTTACGAGTGTTAAATAAGCACTGAACTAGGAATAGGAAGATCCAGGTTCCAGTCACGGCCCTATCATTCTGTGGTTATGTGATCTTGAGCTGGCCACTTGTGTTCATAAACTAAAAATTGAAGGACTGGCAAAGAATGGTATCTAATGGCAAAGAATAAATGTAATGTCTAGGAGAAGATCTAACATGCTCAAGTTCGTTACAGCTTATTTCCTTATATAAACAGGTGTTTCTAGATCAGCATTGACACAATGAGCAATAATCCCTAGTGCCAAAACTCATTAAATGACTATTGTAACAGAACAGATTATCAGGTTTGAAGTTTCTTTTGAAAAATGAATGTGCCAACATTTTCTCATGTTCCAAAAGAAATGTGTGAAAGGGTATTCCCCGAGCCCCTAAATAGCATGATTTAAACTGCATTCTATTTTACTAACATTGTGGCTTAATTCAGGTCTAAATGATCACTGTTTACAAACTCAGCTGTATATGTGTACAGATTTCTGTTGGTTGTAGGATTAAGAAATCTAGATATTTATAAACATTTTAGAATTCAAGATGCCAAGTAGTTTTGTTCTAATTTAATAAAAGCAGATCTAATGTAATTGTCAAGAAAAACTTTATTTTTCTTTACTCTAGATCATGGTTATGGATGGAGAAATCCCAAACAGAAAGATGATTTAGTGAATTTTAAATTTTTATTTTATCAACTAATTTAATGCGATTGTACTGTTTTGATTGAGCAGAAATTGGAGAATTACATTATTTTACAGTAAATTTTCACCATGCCTGAGAATGTTATGCTGAGAGGCACCCTTTCTTGGGCTGAATCACTCACACGGTGCCTGAGACATTTTTTGAACATCTGCTACATGCCGAGATAAATGTTTTATAATTATAATTTTATAATCAGTGAACACTTAAATCAGTGTTATATGGACATATTAAAATTATTGGCACTTTGTGGATGAGGGCAATGAAACCCAGAATAATCAGTAAAAGTTAATATTTTAACCCAGCTGTTCGAGTCAAAGGCTATGCTCTCTGTGTAACACCATACCGCCATCACCAAATGAAATACAGCTAAAAAGGCAGCATTTGGGCTACACTTCTGGAAGGCAGTGAAGTGAAGGCTGATATAAGCAGAGCACCAGGGAAGTCAGAGGACATGTGAACCGTGCCCTTGTGCAGTGCTTTTCAAATATTAACATGCAGACGGATCACTTGAGTATGTTGTTGAGTTGCAGAGTATGATTTAAGAGGTTTGGGCAAGCGCCTGAGATCTTGCTATTCTAACAGTTTCCCCGTGATGCAAATATTGCTGAGTCTTGGGCTATGCTTTTGAGTAGTCAAGCACCAATGAAAGAATGACTGGTTCAGTACCATGGACAGTGGAACAGGTGGGCCACCACTACCATCTTCTCTCATTTCAGTCAAATCTCTATTATCTTCTGTGGGTAGACTCTTGCAACAAACACAGTCAAAATCTTTAAAAAGTGATTTTTGAATTTCTGTAAGCTACTTGGAGATTATTCCCTTCAATAGGCACAAATCTGTTCAGAGGAAAGAACTGGGCTTTGGAAGGGAGAGAGTGTGGCTCATCTCACATTTCTAAATGGTACGCTGCCAGTGCCCCTCAGGCAAAAAGAATATAATCAGGTTTATTATCTAACAAGGAGGTATCTAATTATCTAATATAGATGATTCTGTGTCTAATACAGAATTTATAAATATTTAAGTAGTCGTACCAGCCTCAACATTATAAAACATCAATTTGAGAGGGGTTAGCACTGTTACTTGCACATTTAATGAACAGAAGAGAAATTAACAACATCTTTCTGCTGTGAAATACACTGAACTATTTGTCAATTGTACATAATGAGAAAGCAGAAATAAAAGTATGACAAAGTGCTATTCAAAATCACAGTGAAATAAAAATGACCTTAAAATTTTATTGTTAAATATATTTCCTCTATCTTTCTCTTTATTCTATATTCCTCCCCCTATTTCCTTATTTCAAGAATAAAGTCAGAAAGTTCATTTTCTTTATTGACTTTACCCTCTACTTTGAAAAAGCGACTATGGCTGCCAGCATAAATACTACAGGGGTTTTAAGACTATCAATCTATTTCACATCAAGAACAAAGCCATTCAGATAAAAATCTAGCAAGCAATTCTATTTTTTCCCATTGAAGACATTTTTATTTTCTGTTTAAGGACCCCTTCTCAGGTCTAAAAATGCTATAGGCTACATTTATGGCAAGAGAAAATGAGTATAATCCCACGCAAATTTTCTAATAGCCCTTCCCTTAGCCTTGCTATGTGACCTCTTAAGAATACTCATTCTTTTTCATTTCAATGTATGTTTCCAAAATTAATTCATTATATATTAATTGCCATCCATTAGACTTTCATAATAGTATACCAAGAGTGAAAATGTTGATCTTCATATTTTGACATTTTTTTCAAGTTAATTCTTGATTCCAGAGGAAGAGTCTTTTTTATGATGTTAATTGCATTAAAACAAGTTTGATGTGAGTGTATATATGTTCAATTACATATGTACTGAGGATCTATGTGATGTGTAAGAAGAATATTATACACATAATTTCATTCAATTTTCACAACACTTTGAAATAGATACTTTGTTCCTACTAAAGGGATGGGAGAAATGAGGTTCAAAGTCCCTCTGTTAGTAGGTGATTGAGCTTGGATTACAGGACAGTTGGATTACTCTCTTTCTACTATGCACTCTTATAAGGTTGGCTTGTTCTAGTGGAAATTTACACATCTCATATAGACACAGCAAAAAATATTATGTGTGAAGTGCAGTGCTACTTGATGGCGAGAAGTAGAAAATAGTTGACTTCTATCCATTATTTCCAAAGCAGATGTGCAGCTAAATTAAAAATCCATTACCGGCATGGTATATTCACTTTCACATGGAAAGATATTGACCATTAGCAAAGATAAATAATTTACCTGAGATTCCCTTGAGCACTCAATGTCAGGAAAAATTTATAACTAATATGTTGAGAGTTGCTCGGGGTACTGAATTGCAAATAATCCTCTATTTACAGGCCATTTTACCTGTCTTTTGTGAGACTAACAGTAATTATTTTAAAAACAAATCTAAATAATTCCCTTTTGGTGATCTCACTTAGTCCATCTTTCTTCTTTTTTGGTAAATCATTAAAATCTGAGTTCATAGTTCTTAAATGAGGGAGCATCAATATCTGTGGTCCTAAGAATGTGCTTATTCCTTTTTTCATGGTTCTCATCAGTCTCTTTTTGAGGACGGCTCAGTCACTCAATGCTTAAAATGGCTAGGTGACCATTTTAAACGTTTCACCATGGGTCTTAGAGAGGATGTCATCTCAAATGATCTATGGGCTATGAGCCTATTCCTATTACTCACTCCTTAGCTAGTAAGGGGAACCAGGAGGGTGTTCCCTCTCGGGAGCTTTATAGACAATGTAGCTTCAGTATATTTCTTTGTAAAATGTAGAGGCAACTAGGAGGAAGGCCCAATGGAAGCACACTCCTTTGATATGGTGCTTGACAAACGCATTTAAGAAAACCTAAGCAAACTGAGCAAGTGGCTGTGGGCTAGAATACAAGATGCAGGTGGGGTAAAAATAAAACTACAGATGGTTTATAAAGGTGACTCATCCTTCCCCCACCCCAACTCCTTTAGTTTTCTTTTCTTTCTTTTTATAAAACATTTTGATTGTGACATTTCCACTAAAAGAGCCCTATCTCTAAATTCTTCTAGTCAAGGCAAGAAGGTAATGCCACGGGAAATCCATTTCTACAGTCTCTTCTCATTGCCATATCTGATTTTAAAGATATTTTTCTAACGTGGAAATATTTGCATGGATCTCCCCCACCCCCCAAACATACATTTTATACCCCCCAGAAGCAAACTTTTCCTGAAAATGAGATAAACAGATCACACGCTGAAATAAACAAGTACACTGCACCAGAATATCATACTTGCCTTCTGTCACTTAAAACACATCCAGGGGACACAAGCAAAGCACATCCCCTGCGCATGCGGCTGGCCTTCTCTACACAGGCCTGGTGGGTGGTTGGAATATCCGGTAATTAGTTTTACATGAAACTTTACTTACGGAATTGGCCTGCATATATACAGTCAACACTGTCTCTGCCGAATTAGAGACGACACATTTCACTCTATGAACAGGACACAGTCTCCACTCACTGGATGTTTGGGGTCAGGGAGGAGTAACCTGAACCTCCTCTGGCTTTGATGTTTGGAGTTGAACATCTGCACTGCTCATCGAAGCCCTCTGTGCTTCAGTTTCCCCTGTGTTCCATTCCCCCCGCCCATGGTTCTCGCCCCCCAAGCGGTTCTCCGGAGTCCCTTTCTGGGCCGGCGGGACGCGTGGACTGAGCGGGCCTCGGCCGCGTCTGTTCCGGCCAGGTTTGACTTTGCTCGCGCAGCGCCCGCGCAGCCCGCCAGGGGGACCCCGGCCCGCCGGGCTGCATCTGAGCAGAAAGCGTTCGAGGGGCGTGGAGCCAGGGTCCTGCGGCGCCTGCTCCGGGAACACCCCGAGTCGGCTGGAGCTCTCCAGCCGCTCCGGAGAACTGGGGGAGCCGGGTCCCTGGCTCTGGAACCCGTGGTCCAGTGGTAGCGAGAGGCGGGACCCGCGGGTGGGTGTGTCCGTTTCCGCACGCCGGCCTTACAGCCCGGGAAGAGCGCCTGGAAGCGGGTACTTTGTTCCCAAAGATGGGTTTTGTCTGCGGGTGATTCGGGCTCTCGAAGTGCAACTTTGTGGCCGGGGCGCGGATCGGCCGGCCTGGGCTCCTGCAGAGGGAGGAGTGGATCCTGTCTGCGTCCTCCAGGAGGGGGTGGCAGGACTGGGGTTTCCCACAGGTTTTGGGGCGGCGGCAAGATTGGCACCGTACGGGGTCGCAGGCTCACAGCGACGCCCCTGGAAGCCCGCCCCGGCCCCCGCCCCCAACCCGCCTCTTCGGGGCTTTGTGGTGTGAGGTTTGGGGCTGGGATCCATCTGGAGCCCAGCAGAAAACTTTTCCTTTCCCATCCCCGGTGCCTTTTGTCTTTCTTGGACAAGGTGGCGGCGCCGCCTGAGCGGCGACTCCCTCTCCCCTGCCCGGCTCGCTGCGCCTGGTGCCCTCCGAGGACAGGCGCGCCTGCACTCTGCGCCCGGATGGCGGAGGCCCTCTGTGAGCACCGGCAGCAGCGCGTCCCATGCCCGGAGGCCGCCGGTGCCCCCCCAGCACGGGCATAGGGGCGTCCCCACCCTCCGCCCGCTTGCACCCCTTGCCGCCCGCCCCCTCGCCTGACTCATCCGTCCGCGGTGGCCGCCCGAGCCCTGGGATGGGGAGGGAGACCGCGGCTGCCCACGGCGGCCGAGATTCCCGCTGACGCCCCCGACCCCGCCGCCTTCTTCGTCCGCCTCCAGAGGCGCCCGACGTCCCGACAGCTCCTGGAGTGAGACCAGGACTGCGAACCGGGAGAGGCGACCCGACCCCAGGGCCCGGTGCTCAGGACAGGTGAGGGGAAGGAAAGGGTGCTGCCGCAAGTGGGGAGGTGGGTGGGCGGCCACCGCAGCCGAAACCGGGCACTTCTTCAGCCCCCTGCCCTCCTCTCCGCTGCAGCCTCCAGAGTTAGGTAAACGCTGTCTCTCCTAAAGTTTGGGAAACAAACCAAGTCCGCCACCGGGTCCGGACTCCCCAGTGCCCGGAGCGCGAGAGAAGCCGTGCGGGGCAGCCTCCAAGAACCCGGAGTACTGGAGCGCCTGGCTGGGTTTCTCCAAGCAACACCCTCCTTTGTCTCGGTTCCTGAGAGTCAGCATTCTCTGTAATGTCCACAGCGTTAATTTGTGATTGAGCAAAGTATGGTCAGGGTTTCCTAAAGCAGTATTTGGATGGGGCAGAATCTACACAGGCAAAATGGAGAGGCAAAGCAATTATTTGCAAAATTCAGCACTACTCTTCTCCCTGTAGTCTTGTCTGTAAGAGAAAGGACTGAAGGCTTCTAAGATTTGCTTCATTAACCATTCTTTTGCTATAAATTGTTCAAGCCAACACTTCATGTTGTGTAGGCGCAAGCTCTCTGTATTTACTGCTGTTTGATTTAGAGAAATGTGTGCGTGTGTTTGTGTGTGTGTGTGTGTGGTTTTATGTAACAATTCATTGTTCAGTATCAGGCATTGGTAATAACAGAGAGAAAGGCAGCATATACATGTAATTGACTAATTGTAATCAGCCCCCGTCCACCTTAGTCTGGTGTATTTAAAAACTAAATATGTTGGACTAAAGTGTGTCTTGCCTTGTCTCTTCTGAATACCTTCAGAAGTAGTTATGGACAACTGCATAGAAAACATTTCAAGAATTGATAATTATTCTTGTTTGTGAGAAAGAATATTGAATTCTTGGTTTTGCAATCAAACCAAGTTCAGAGGCACACTTTCTATAGGGCTGTATGCATAAATATTACCAGAGGTTGTGAAAGCTATTTACTTTGTCATTTCTTGAATCATGGAAACACTTACAAGAGGACCTTCAGTTTGTTATTTGGCTACTGATACTAGAAAACATTATCATTTTGTGAAAAGTAGACTTAATTTTGAAACTTTTAAAACTTTACTTTATTTTCCCACTGTTTACCTACACAGAAGCATGTGGTTGTAGTTTCATTCTTTTTAAACACCTCAAGTGAAGAATAGAAGTCCTTCTAAACAGAAAAGAATGCTTCCATTAACTGGAAACTGTAGTTAAATGCTTTGACAATTTAACATTATGATTTTTTAACTGTAAAACATACACACTGAGAATGATTTTTAATCAAGTCCTACTAGATAGCTCATAATTATGAGATAATTTAGCTATAATTTGTAACCCTGGTTATTATTAGCTTTGTATCTAGGCTGGGAAAGCCTTCAGTAGAGTTGTGTGGGAAGTCCCTGTATGTAATTTCCAGCCAGTTAGCATAGAAAGGATTCACCTGTTGCCTTTGAGGCAGGTCTAGGTCAATGTGTATAGTGTCTAAAGACACGCATAATCAGAAGGGATTCTTCAGGAAAGATTATTGTAAAGAGGGATGGCTGTACTTGTTATTTTAACTTACTGGAATTTTTTGTGAAGCTTTTGAATACTCCAAGAGTTAGATTGCTATATTTGGACTTGTGTAGCTTCAGAATTTTGACAATAGCTCATTGGACAGAAAAGGATAACTACTGACATATAGAGGGAGCAGATCTGAACTGATTGGTTAAATACTCTACTTCTCATGATGACTCTTAGCATAAAGGAAAGAAATTCATGCTTAGCTTAGAAAGATAGATAAGAACAAAGATAAAAGCAAATGTCACCTTTTACATTTCTTAAGCAAAATTAGTAGAGGATAAAAAATAAGCCCTTGTAGTCATACACATTACTTATCAAATAGAGGGTAGCATTTAAAAGAGGAAAAATAACTTGTGTAGCGACAGAAAACTAAGCCTGCAATGAGATGGACCTCATTTTCTTAAGGAATGTATATCTGATTTACGGTTTTATCAAGCAGACCCACTTGTTCCTGGACTTACACTATGTTTTGTCTGCTGAGATCTGATATGTGCTCAAAACCTCAGAAAACATCAGTGAGTGCTTGTTGTGGTGTCATCCTAGCTACCCCTCCAGGCCTTTTCTATGGGCTTATAGGCTGATGGAGAGCGGACTGATAAATATACCACAGATCACTTGGCAGCTGAGGTGGTCTGAGAGCAGCAGGGGACCAGTGCAGACTGGGAAGCAGTATAGTGTGTTGCAAAGGGACCTGGATGGGGAATTGTCATCTTGACTGAATCACTGATTAGGTGGCTGTGGGTAAGTGGGTAAGTTCCTCTGCCTTTTTGGTTCTTGGTGCCCTTATCTGCAGAATGAGGGCTTTGGACTGGCGATCTTTATGTTCTCTTTTAAAAATGCTGCAAGGCAAATTCTGGCAGAATTAAAGAGAGACAGAAATCAGTGTGTATGTGTAGGAGGGTGGTTTGTAGGGTTTTGGTCAAAGGAAGCCAGGCTGGAGGGTCTTGCTAGTTGTATTGAATGGGAAATGGCAAAGAGAAGTAAAAGATGTCTGATCTGGGACATCTGGCCTAACATTGATTATGTGAATTGAAAATACATAATAAAATAATAATAATACCAACTTTCAGTTAGTACTGGGTGGTTTTCCATGAATTTTCACAAATGATGGCGATTGATTTTCATGACAACCCTCAGAAGTAATTAGAGCAGAAAGGTGATGAAGCCGGGACTACTACTGCAAAGCACATCTGCACCAGGATGCGCCACTGCCTTTCTGCAGGATTTGTAGAGATAGGAGAAGCTAAAGCTCACTTTGGAAACCCTGAGTAAACAGGGGAGAGATGTAAGGTTAGGGTCAGATTTTAAGTGAAGTTGAATTTCTGAGTAAGAATTTCGGTTACATTCTGGAACACAGAAGTCTCCAATTATGAGCTCAAGACTTCCTGAAATGCCTTGAATTCTGATTATTGATGTTTAATCTGACTGCTCTTGTTCTGTGCCCGCTCCTCCCCTAAGGTCCCCTCTTCCCCAGCAGGAATTCTGGGGGTTTGACTACCACAGAGTAATTGATAGGACTCTTCCAAGAGCTTTTAGTGATGCTGGAAAAAGGAAATCTATGTATTTCATATAAAGGCGAGGATTCTGGGGCCACTGTATCACTAACTGATCGGGTGCGTTCTGCAAGTTGTGCTTTGGAAACTTTGTCACCAGAGGTGAAATTACACAGAAGGCATAGAAATCTAGCAAGCTGTAAGATGAGCGTCTGTACATTCCTTCCTATAGATCCCTAATCACTCTGCCCTGAGCATGAAGTACACCAAGGGGGGACAAGTCCCCACTTACCACCCCACTCTGTTCACTACCCCACTCTGTGTTCATGTAGAAGGGAGTTACTCAGGATTCATTTGCTTGCATGTGTGAATATTTAACTAGGTAAAGCAAGAAAGGACTTATTGGCTCATGTGACCAGAAAGTCCTTGCTTCAGTCATGGCTGGAACTCAGAGACTTACACAACTTTATTGGGGTTCTTTCTCTCTCTCCCCGTTTCTTGGCCCCACTTCTCTCTGGGTCAGCTATATTCTGAGGCACTCTTTTTCTGAGTACGGAGAAAGATGACTGTGGGTAGTTCTAAACCCACATTCCTGCGCTTTTCATCTATGAGAAAAAGAGGTCCTTTCTCTTCCAGGTCCCATTTTTATAAATCTCCTTGAAGGGCTCTGATTGGCCCTGATCAGTGGTAATTGATCAGTGGTCTCTGTGTCTAGCAGAGAGTGCTACTCTGATTGTATTGGACTAAATCGTGTGCCCAACCCTGTGTATATGTGGTTCTGGTGCTGGGATGAGGAGGAGAAGGCTGGTTGGGCACTATGATAGGCAGTTCTGTCAAGATTACATAGAGGTGTGGTTCTTCCCAAAAAATAATGCTGCCAATCAAAAGCAATGTGTCTATTATTGGGAATAATTCCTTCGTTTTTTGGGACAGCCCTCTGCACAATGATCTGGAGTTTGCACATGGAAGCATCTCAGATGCCAAGACTATGCATATCCCAAAAGTGGGACCTTTCTCCCAAGCAAGGTATAGCCCAGTTATGAAAAAATGCCCTCATATTTAACTTTATTAAAAGGAGAATTATTTCCAGAATACTATTGAATGGGAAGCCACCATTTATTCATATCTATGTACTTCTAGCAAATATCCCTGTGTCTTATTTCCAGCCCAGAGATTTTGTTTCCAAAAGCTCTGCCCATCTAGTGATGATGAGATTGGAGACCCCCTACTTTGGCCATTGTAGAGCCAGTGAAAATTTGAACAGGGAGCTGAAGTGATTAACACAGGACTATTGTTTATGCAAATTCATTGGGTTGTTGGAAATGGGCAGAGGGGAGTGGCAGGCACAGATTAGGATTATCATTTAGGAGGCATAAGATGATAGGTTTCCAATTAGAGTATTGGCAGCAAGAATTTGTGAGCAATATTATGAAGTTCTTGTGAGGTTATATCTCAGGGTGAAGGAGAATCTGTGTTGACAGAAGCATTTGTGCAATGAAATAGACCAGGAGGATGTAGACTAGGAAGTCAGCCTGGGCCAGTAGGTGAAATGGTTGTGCATGGTAGATAGGTTAATAGCAAATGGATTGTGTAGACAGGAGGTCTGTAGTCACCATGAGTGCTAGGGGCATGCATAGAACTGACATTTACCAAGGATTTACTTAGTATGGTAGCTTCACGTTACATACTTTAATGTTATTATATTAATGTTATATAAATCTCACAATAGCCCTCCAATGAGAGAAAACTCAAAGTCAGGGAGGTAAATAACTTACTGAAGGTTATGAGGCCATTAGACAGTACAGCTGGAAATCAAATCCTGGCAGTCAGACATCAAAGGCTTGCTTTAACCACTATGCAAAACTACCTCTCAACCTCAAGGTCAAATTCACTGTATCAGGCCACACTGAAGGAACAGCTAAAGGTTGGCCCTTCTGATAGGAAATGAGAGTACCAGAATTCCAGGTCAAATAGAAGGCACAGAACAGAAGTTATTAGGGTGAAAGCACATGGCATTCATGTTCAGAGTCTACCTGGACAAGAATGTCAAGGTAAGAAATTCTTGGAAAGGAAAGAATATCACATGCATCGATTCTGGGTTTAGGGTTTGGGGTATAGCAAGGAAAGGGAATGGGAGAATTATCAGGAAGTCGAACAGATGGGCAGATCAATAGAACAACTGGGGTTTGATTGTTGACCTGAGAACAGGAACTCTACCATCTGCCATGGCTTTAAATATCCTTCCTGGTATAAGTCGATAAGAATATGGAATGGGCAGCTCCTCAGAGGGAGACAGGATTTTATTAGTTGTCAGGCACTGTCAGGGAAAGGAGCTAACATTTGTAAGGCCATGTGCCTTAGATACGTAATCTCACTAAATCTTCATTATAAGTTCCAGAAGGGTAAATATTATGCCTCCCCTCCACCACCACTTTTCTTGAGCCAGGAAATGGAGACTCAGAAGGTTAAGTGACTGGCCTAGGCTCCTGGAGCCAGATTGGAAAGTGAAAGAGCTGGCATGGAACCCAGATCTGTTGGAATCCAGACCTCTTCCTGGATCTTCAGGGAGTCATCCTGGTGCTAGCAGGACAAGGTCAGTATCAAGTCTGAGAGATGGAAATGGGAAAATCAGCAGGGGCATATAGTTGTGAAGGAAGACAGTAAGCTAACTTTTAGACATCTGTGAGATAAGAGCAGACTGTCTGAAGAGAATTGTCCAGCAGGATTGTATCCAGCTTTGGCAGAAAACTTAATAATCTAGTAGGTTTTTTCCCCTCAGTACAGGATCTCTATCATTATGCAGGGTAGATATGTCAGCGAGTCAGATGTTTGGAAGGCTTAATTTAAGTCACTGATTTCAGTTCAAGAGAAGGGACCTCTGCCAGCTGCCATGGCCTGAATTTACCTTTATACATACAGATACTCTGCCCTGAAACATGAAAAATTAAGAAGTAGATACATATAGAGAGGGAGAGAGGACACTCGCTAGCACATGCTGAATGTAGTAGGTTCATGAAACACACTCTAGTTATAAAGGTGTGTACTTGAGGATGCTCTAAATAAAATGAATTACTAGTAGAATGTGAGTGACATCATATCGTTCCCCAACAAATACAAGGTCAAATTTGTATCTGCTTAGGTGTGTGACTGGATGTGTGTGCAATCAACTGTGTATATATGTACGAAAAGAGGAAGGGGAATGAGAAAGTGTATAAAAATAGAAGTATTTATGAGAACCTTGTAGCCTATTCGGAGAGGTAAAACAACTATGTATATAACTCTTAGAACAACTCAATAGAATAATATGTAAACAAATGATTATGATGCTTTGAAATAAAGCTGGTAGAGATATGGAAAGAATATTAGAGGCTCATGACATGAAAGCAATGCTGAATAAGAGTAGGCTCTTTCTTGTAAATAGTGAGCTAATCACAGAGGTGCTGATAGATTAGCAACTGCTGGGGAGAAAAAAAAATATTTTCCTTTTGAGAGTCAACATCTTTGGGCTTAAATACAAGATGAATCCAAAGAATCTCAGTACTGTCTCTAAGCTGAGGTTGGCATAGGAGAGACACAAATTTTGTTTCCCTTGGCAAAGTCAGTCAGATCGGCTTAGTGGACATACATGTGCAAGTATTTGTCATAAAATGGAGTTAGCATTTCTGAAGAGATGTTATATTTTCTAATCATGAAGGCGATACACACTCCCAATAAAAACCTTGGGAAATATATTAAGTATAAAAAGTCAGGGAGAAAATTTGCCTGTAATCCTGTGACCCAAAGGCACTCGTAACATTCTGGCATTTTCTTTCTCCTTATTTTTAATGACTTTTTTTCATATTGCTTAATAGCGTATTACAACCTACTCTGTTTGCTTAATCTTATGTCTTAAATATTTTCCAACTTCTAGGCAAGCTTTATTAATGTCAGTATAATATTGGATTATGTGGACATATCATAATTTATTAACTAGTCCCTTAAAATTGGACTTTTAGGCCATTTCCAAATATTTGGTATTATAAATGGCACTTTGATTAATCTTTCTTCAAATTTCAGATTCTCTTTTTAGTGCATAAGGGTTATAAATGCATTTATATTCCATTTTATATATGTTTATTAGATTACTTCTTTAAAAAAGATTCGTGGAACGATAATTTCTGGGTCAAAGGGTATGAAAATTTCAGGCTCTTGATACTTAATGCCAAACTGATTAGCAAATAACTGAAGTTATGACTGACAGTGCATGGAACTACCCTCCACATGCTCTCACTAGGTGGTTGTTTTTATTTTTAAATTTTGAAAAGCTACCATTTTGAAAAAAGGAATAGTTTATGCTAACTGCTGATTTTGTTCCTTTGTTACCCAAATCTCCCTTCTAGAATGTAGACTGTGTGAGATATTGTGATTCATTTCACTGTTTAAAATTTACTTATAAGTGTTTCTGAACATGCAGATAGGGGCCCATGACAGAAAAAAGTAGCTTGTGAATGATTTTTTGAAAGCCAGTGTTATACACATCCTGTTTGGGGACTCTTCAGACTCTACTGTGGGGCAGCCCATGAGAGAAGTTGATTGAAGTAGGTTGAGAGCCCCTTTTTGCAGAGCTAAGCCCCTGACAGCCCCACCTCTGTAGCCTTGGATATTAGGTCCTAGTAGTCATGGAGTGTTCTAACTGCGCTTTTCACTGGGGCTGTAACCCAAGTGAAAGTAGGCCTGTATCTGTTTTGTCCATGGCTATATCCTCAGCAGGTGACCTTAGACCAAGTTTTGCTGGGAGGTGGGATCTGAAATGCCTGAGTTTGTTTATTTTATTTATTTATTTATTTATTTATTTATTTATTTATTTCAGACGGAGTGTCGCTCTGTCACCAGTCAGGCTGGAGTGCAGTGGCATGATCTCAGCATACTGCAATCTCCACCTCCCAGGTTCAAGCAATTTTCCTCCCTCAGCCTCCCGAGTAGCTGGGATTACAGGGGTACACCACCACGCCAGGCTAATTTTGTTGTTGTTGTTGTTGTTATTTTTAGTAGAGATGGAGTTTCACCATGTTGGCCAGGCTCGTCTCGAACTCCTGACCTCAGGTAATCCACCAGCCTCAACCTCCCAAAGTGCTGGGATTATAGGCATGAGCCACCTCACCCAGCCATGAAAATGCTTGAGATTCTTCCCCTAGAAAACTTCTATAATGTTAGTCACTGATTGCCCAGAAACAAAGTTCCTGAATTTTGAAACTTCTGGTTTTACTCTCCTTTCCAAACAAAATTCAACCACATCACAGTACCTAGTTTTATGGCAATGAACTTTGACTTATTCCAGAAGAGGAATTTGGATCTTACACATACCTCTGTGGGTATTTTATTGTCTAAAAACACTTATTGAGAGTAAAGAGAACTATTAAACTTACTGTAGCAGTCGACTTGAGGTGGTTTTTGAGTGCCAGTTTCAGTTTTTCCACAACTACTATATTCCTACAAAAATAATTTACAACTAAAATAAAAAAATGTTTTGGTTTTCTTCTAAAAGTTGAAGGATATTATTATATTGTAATAACTCTATTCTCCTTTATGGATCTCAGTCAATAATTTTGAACAAAATTATTTTTGTTCATTTGTTCAACAAATGATTATTTAGGGAGATTCATTCAGTAGGTGCTGTTAAATTATATTTATGACTCATTTTGTCAAATGTGAGACAGAGCTTCTTACACAACAATAACGCAGAACACTGTGTAGGAATTCATGCCTTATACATTTATTTACTTATAAGACACATAAAAGCTCTTATGACATGCATTAAAAAGTAAACTTGACTCAGGAGAAAGTTTATTAATTAATAAAGGATTCATTAAATATTTGTGCTGCCAGCTGGGGATCCAGTAATGACGAAAACAAAAAGTTATAGAGGAGCTTACGTTGTAAATGGAGGAGACAAAAGGAAACATGTAAATGAGGAAGGCAATTTCTGGCAGTCAAAAGTGCTGTAAGGAAAGTAAAGAATCTGATGTCATAGAGAGTGCATGGGCTCATTTAGATCAGATGGTCAAGGAAGACCTCCCTGCATTTGAGGCATTTGAACTAGAACCTGCGAGAGAATAAGGAGCCAGCCTCACATATTTGGGGAGGGGGCATTGGACTAGGTTTTATACTCAGTGCACTGGAAAGCCATTAGAAGGTTGCTCTTTTGGAGCATGATGTTTGAGGTGAGTGTTGAGATGAAGAATGCAAAGTATTACTTCACTGTAATGATGATATTGGTATTGGGAGCAAAAACAATGCTCATATTACAGACTATATGTAGTTATGGTCAAGATATATCATGTATCGCTATATGGTTAAAGACATTTCATATACAGTATATCTACCTACAAAGGGGTTTTAATATAAATATAACATGTAAATAGATTTAATAAATATATAAATGTAACTAAATATAAATAGCAATTTCAAAAGAATATATAGAGCTTAGTAAGTCCACCATAGAGTTTTTGTTATTTGAAACTTGTGTTCTTTAACTGAGCCTAGCATATTGACTTGCACATTATATGCATTTGACAAATGTTACTGAATTAACCATATGGAATATTTTACTTGTAAGAAAAAAATTAACCTAGGATATAAAAATCACGTTAATTAATTAAATTATTTTCACATTTAATTATTATCACATGAAATAATTATCGCATTCAATTAATTAATTAATTATTTTTTGAGACAGGGTCTCACTCTGTCGCCCAGGCTGGAGTGCAGTGATGTGATTTTGGCTCACTGCAACCTCTACCTCCTGGGTTCAAGTGATTCTTGTGCTGGGACTCCACAAGTAGCCTCCCAAGTAGCTGGAACTACAGGCACACATCACCATGCCTGGCTAATTTTTGTATTTTTAGTAAAGATGAGGTTTCACCATGTTGGCCAGGCTCGTCTTGACCTCCTGACCTCAAGCAATCCACCTGTCCTTGGCCTCACAAAGTGCTGGGATTACAGGTGTGAGCCACTGCACTCAGGAAAATCACACAAAACAGTATTTTTATGAAAATACTAAGCCTTTTCTTTGAAAAAAAAGATAATATGGATAATATGTTCTTTATACTCTAAATATTAATGATAATTTTAAATTGTATTCAAAATGCTAAAATTGAAATATTGAAAAATAAAAAATACACAAGTATAATCATCTTCCTCACATACTTTTTTTTTCTTCCTGGTTAAGTAGAAATCTCTGGAAAGTCCACATTTTATATAAAGATTTTATTAATATCACTTGGTCTTATCATACTTTACTTGACTTGTGGAAATTCCTTATTTATTTTGTGAGTCTCCCAATTCTCGAACTAACCTCCATTCAGAACTTTTCATGCATAATTGAATATAAGACAATAATAACATATAACTAATGATGCTTGTTAATGAATATTTAGCTCAGTGTCTTCTGGGAGATGTATCCAAATATACTTATTAAGTCATCTGACATTTATTGTGCGCATAGTAAGTGCTGGCCATTGTGTTCTATGCTAAGAGCATAACAAGCTTTTCTCAAGAAACTCACAGGCTAGAGAGCCATTGGGTAATACTCTAAGTACTTAACACAAGGGAAAG